CACTCACTCCTCAGCACCATACAAGCGATCGAGAATCTGTAGAGCCGCCTGAACGCTTGTATGTAACAGCTGTTTAAAACTCTTACTGTGTCCTGCTTGCACGCACCCACTAGTGCTGTACATATATGGTGACCCACACTAAAGCACTTGTCATCTATCCATTTATATACAACGGGTGGACGGCAAGTAGTTAAAGCAAACCTGTTCTTTTCTTGTTCAGGGAAATACTACATAATGACCACTAGATGGAGCTGAGGAGCTTATTTCCTATGCTCCTCACTGCCATCTAGAGGCCATAATGTGGTATTTTTCTTGATATTACATTCACCTTAGAAAAAAATATATACTAAGAACGTTTGTTTTGCTTCTATTAGCACAGAATGAAGGTTCACAGAGTTTCGCAGGACAAAAGGGGCAATTGTTTCCTCCTATTTGCAGAAGGCTGACAACATCAGCTAAGTCAAGGACAGTTGACTGGAACTCATGGATGACTATTGAATAGTAAAAATGACATCCTTCTAAAAAAAATGATGCCGTTGCTGTATATTGTGACATGCCAGCGATTGATTCATGCAAACTTGTAAAGTTACAGCGAGCTCCACTTTAAGAATGTTTCAGGTCATCTCAGCCGCCTCTGGCCTTCCGTTCAGCCGACCAAATTAGAAATCACTGCCGTTCTTATTTTTGCTCTTGCCGCTTGGCTTTGGAAGTGATCTGAATCCCGAGTCTGTACAGTAAAGAGTGATTTAAAATTACTGAAGTGATTCTGCTATTGAAGAGTGATGCAGTCTTCCACATTCAAAGTCCAATTTGAGAGATTGAAAAGCGGCTACAAAGCAAAAACGAGGAAGCACTTGAGCAAATTCCAATCAGTGTACACTAAGCTTCACAAAACAAGGCCTTAAACAGAACCGCGGCAGTACGCCTGCAGACTTGGAAAGGAAAGGAGAAAAGGAAACTGAGCTTGATGCATTTTAATGGACTCTCATGCCAAACAGTCCAGCTTTGTGAATACAGAATCATTAGGCTTTTCTTTAAAGGCAGAGAGTCCACCTTTAAAGATGTAGGGGTGCATTTATAAACCATTCGCAGAGCAGTTCATCCTGCGAAACTCAGCTAACCGTCATTCTGGAAACTACCACCTCATGACCACTAGATGGAGCTGAGGAGCATAGGAAAGAAATGCTTCTATCCAGTACTCCTCAGCTCCATCTAGTGGCCATAATAAGGTATTTACCTGATTTTACATTCTCAAACAATTGCATTTATGGCCAGGACCTGAGCAGAAGGCACTGCACCCCTGAAAACCGTAGTCACAAAGAGAAAGAAAAGTTGGGTTTTTTAGCTACCAAAAGGACAATTCCATAATGATAGATGATACAAAATATTATTTATTAAATAATGGTTAAAAATATATAATATAGGTAAAATTAATTGGTGAAAACCAGCTGATCAGATATCTCCACTTATTACGTAACCCAATCGGAACTACATGATTAGATGATACATGATTAGATGAATAAACATATAACATGATTCAAAAGACAAACACGATTGGTTTTGATAGAATATTCAGAGCGGAGGAGTCATTTGATTTCGACGTTTCACCCTCAAAAGCGCTTCCTCAGGAGATGGAAGATATCAATTGAGCCGTTTTTTTTTTTTAAATCAGATAATTTTTTATTGATACTTTTTTGTTTTGATTTATACATCAATATGCCAGCATACATTCTGCCCTGTAACATACAGAGCCTACATAGAAATGGACATAGCACATATTCATCACTGGTATATCAAACCCATAATAAGAAAAAAGAAAAAACAGAAAGCCAAAACCAGTATAGATGGAGTGATGTTTTCATCTGCGAGAGGTGGAGATGTGAGTCACCACTCCCCTGGACACCCCCATAGCCGTATTTGACCGCTCTTATCGTCTCCTGCACCTTGTCATGACCAAACTATATCCTTCATCTGTTTTGTAGTCATGTGACCCTTATGTCCTTCACCTCCTGTCCCGGCTCATCCCGCATCTCTCAGTGTCCTCTGGGTTAACCTCACATTTGTGCTCTCCAAACCATTGCAGCATATACTCAACGGAGCCCCTTACCCCACCTCTGCCCCTCCTCTTCTATGCGTCTCCCTCCGCTCTGGCTTATTCATATGTAAATAGTGTCACCCATTCATATGTAAATATCACAGCCGAGACTATTTTTAGTGGGGTGCCAGCAGCCCCTATCTTAATTTTGGTTGCCCCTGTCTGCCTGACATCTTGTGTCTGGGTTACAGCTGCCATGAAACCTGGACACAGCATTCAAAACCCGGACTGTCCGGGTGAATCCTGGACAGGTGGCAACACTACCCCCACCCCCCTCTGCCAATCCCTCCACTGGCTTCCAATCACCTACAGGATAAAATTCAAAATATTAATAACCACTTACAAAGCCATCCACAGCTCTGCCCCCCAGATATATCTCCGACCTCATCTCAAAGCTTCACCATAACCGTCCTCTGTGCTCATCTGTACACCTTGTTGTGCCTGTTACACTCTGCTCTGCCTCATTCTGTACACTGCTGTGCTGTATATTCCTTATTCTGCACCAACCTTACAGGCCCAGCAGCTCTGATGTGTATGTGTGTGTCTGGGTGTGCCAGAACTGGGGTGTCAGATCTTTGGACAAGGGCGCAATTTCAGTGTTTGCCATTGGCGCTTATTACTAGGGATGCACCGCCACCGATACCGATACTAGTATCGGTATCAGTTCCGATGCCGAGTATTTGGACGAATACTCGTACTCGCTGAAATGCTCTGATGCATGGCCCGATACTTCTGGTATCAGGAAGCCGGGCAGCGCGTCATTACACGCTTTCCTGATTGGCCGGGAAGCCGGCTCAGTGCTCCCTCATCACTTGTGTCGAGAGAGCATGGAGCCATCTTCCCGGCCAATCAGGAAGTCCAACAGCGTGTAATGACGCGCTGCCCGGCTTTCTGCTTGGTCGGGAAGCTGGCTTCATGCTCCCTCATCACCTCATGACGAGGGAGCACGGAGCCGGCTTCCCGGACAATCAGGAAGCCGGGCAGCACGTCATTACACAGCGCCCGGCTTCCTGATTGGCCAGAAAGCCGGCTCCATGCTTTCTCGTCACCTAGTGATGAGAAGCATGGGGACGGCTTCCCTGCTAATCGGGAAGCCGGGTCACGAGTCTTTACAGGCCGCCTGGCTTCCTAAATGGGACTTCCGGTACTCGGTATTCGGTATCAGCAAGTACCAAAAAAAAGATATTGATACTCATACTCGATACCGAAATACCGGTATCAGTGCATCCCTACTTATTGCCATAGATGCATATTTGCATTCCCGTCGCACCTTTAGCGGTTTGGCTGCGGTAGGCAAGTCTGTCCTTTACGAACTTGCAGCTCACTCATCCCGGCAGACGAGCCATGCAGATACAACAAACACAACAAATAAATATATTCAGAGCTAAAAATAGCGGCCCATTGATTTATATCTTGAGTTACAGTTCAACGGCAGATCACATGCGGCTCCCAGGCTACTGCGCAGAGGGCAGCGGTTTGCGGCACTTCATCATGTTCCCGGCTATAGATTTTAACATTATTGTATTTGCCTTGTGTTACAGTAAGCTAAAATTGTATTTTTGATTTATAGAGGCAGATGGACAATTTATTGGCTGTTTTTATTTTACGGCTGTTTGTGTGGGAGTAGGAAGAAAATTCTGCAAGAGATACAGTCAGGGATGAACAATAGCTAAACGGTTCTATCAAGAGCTGCATTCGTTTGTTTGAGATTTTTTTTTTCTACATATTTATAAAGTAACACAAGCCAAGAGGGAGAAGAACACGATGGAAGCAGTGCCCAGCCAGCAGCTTGGAGCCTTAAAGGAGACACAAACTAGCGTCCTCCCGTCACCCTAGGCTCAGTATACCGCGAGCCCCTCCCTATCACGGTAGAGCCCCTCCCCTGTCATGGCAGAGCCCCTCCCCGTCACGGCAGAGCCCTTCCCCTGTCACGGCCGAGAGCCGTGACAGGATCGAGAGGTGAGCGAACGCCGGTATGTGTTCGCTCACCTCCCGATCTACTAAGCTGACCTGTGACAGTCTCATTGTCACAGGTCGGCTAGAACTATGAGGTGAGTGAAAAGCACACCCCCCCTCATAGTTCTCCTTTAAAGCTTAATTCTGAGCTAATATTTTTTTAGAGATTTAAAAAATGAAAAGCAGCTCAAGCTGCGCACAGTTACCTTTAATGCAAAGCAGTACCTGCAGTACCTCTTCTCTGCCACTAGATGTCCTTGGTCTTCCGGGTAAATGGCCCTCAACCTGGAAGACTGAGGAAAGACTTTGAATACAGGGTGTCATGGCCCTGCCCCCAGGCGTCACCAGTAGTGTCCCTACAATTCTCACCGCCTGGGTGGTGGGGGTTTGGGGTGTATGTGCTGGCAATGCAGGTCTGGGGAGGGGTTGTGCTGTGTGGGTGCTGGGGGGGGGGCAATGCTGGGTGTGTGGTGACTGTCTGGGTGGTGTGCATGGTACCTCTGTCCAGCGTCCCACGCAGCCCACTGACATCACTGGTTTGCCAGAAGCTGGGCAGGCCACTAGCCAGAGCCTCCCACTCAGTTCCGGCCATCCAGTGACATCAGTGAGTTGGGCAGGATGCTGACCAGAGTGTCACAGGTTGCTAAGGGCTTTTGGAACCTGGGATGCTCTGGCCTGAAAGGGGAAGGCAGAGGCATTTTGGGATTTGTAATTAAAGCGCAGCTGGAGGGCCAAAGTTGCCCACCCCTGCTCTACATCATGAAGGACCACCTAGGCCAAAGAAGAGGTAAACAGAAAGAGGAGCCTGTGGCATCACATAACCACCATGAAGACTTTTGAAAAACATACAGCCTGTGGGACCCTCAGGAGGTGGGAGGGGGGCATGGGGAGGGGTTAGGAGCCCAGAGTTCTGCTTTATGTTGCTAATAGTCAGGTTATGCCTGCTAGGTAGTCCAGTCTTCTTCCAAAAGTTCATCCTTGAATTTTGTCAGTCCATGGGCGGCAGACTTGATAGTTGAGTGTTACATGTTTCAGGCCTGCACGGGGTTGTCGGTGCCCCCACTGCATCCCTGCACAGCTTATTGTACAATGTGAAGCATTCCGCCCAGAGCAATGATCTGACATGAGTATATGGACGAGATGCAGAGATCGACCTCTGTCTGCAGCAGGTGAGTGTTTGATTTCAGATGGAGCATGCCGGGGTCGACCTAAGAACCTCTACTTGCTGTACACTTAATCTCAGCACGGCAGAGGCTCATCTAGTGGATGAAATGAAGTGATAACACTGCCGAGGACATTCATTATCTCTTCTACTGGGAGGTAGATGGCTTATCATGTAATGAAGAATTTCAGAGATATCCATCTTAATATACAGGTAGCCGGAGTATAATTAGTTGCATATGAGAGATTTAGGTTTTGTTACCTATTTACATGCCCCCCGATGCAAGATAAGGAGCTATCAGCTAATACAGGGGTCTTAAAAAACAACTGCAAGGAAGCAAGTGCTGTGAAATCAAAGCACAACCATTGCAACTGTGCCAAAGTTGGGAAGTCCATTCGATTTACTTATAATGTCAATTTTATACCACCCATGGCAGCCAGATTTAGCAGTGTTTGTGCCTAGGACTACAAGCTCGTGTTCCATAGTGTCATGGATTGACTCGGACAGGTGTGCCGTAATGACATGGCCGGCTCCTCCCCCTGGGCGTGGCGCCTCCTCACTCTCTTAAACACAGCTGAGTCAGTCACTCGGTGTTCAATCATTGTGGAACGTCGAGCGACTGACTCTGTGGTAAACACAGCCACAGACCATCCACAGCCTTAAGTGAGGGGTTCAGCCTCCCTGTCGGGACTCAGCTACTGCCAACTGCTGCGGCTCACATTGCTACACAGGAATACCTCCTGTTCCACCTGAACTCTCTCCACTCCTGAACCGCAAGTACAAGGGGATCTTCCCCCACCTATTGGTAGCCACTTCAAACCATATCAGATGTATATGCTAGCCATGAACTGTGTGCATTGATACCAACTGAACATACCTGATTGCAGATTACTACAGATTGCATAACCTTGCTCTGCTGGAGATAACCTTAGCTAATCCACCGCATTATAACCTCCCAGGGAGTTAGTGAATGCATGTTATTATTTCTGCCACACCAGGGTCATTGGGAATTGGAAAGGTGTGATAGGAAACGCTTCCCTAATTGATTCCTGCAGTGGAAAACTACAACCCACTACACGCCTCCACTTGAGGCTGATAGTATACTCACAATACCTAGACTTATACCTGAGACCCTCATTGGTCATATCCATGTAACACTCTAGGACGGGTACATGATGTGGAACGGAACCCCATCGCACTGGGTGTATTGGGGTTCCGCATGACTGACCGAACCCTTACACCTAGAGTGTTAGTTCCGCAGTTGAGATCCAATAGAATACTGCCTGCTGGATTGTGACACATAGTTCTGTGCTGTGAACTGCTCAGGGTGGTGCTTAGAAGCAGGGAAAACTTACCTTAGAGTTTTGCATGATTTGGGGCCACACTGGAGTTAAGGATTTCCAGCTAAGCAGCTCAATGAGGCAAACTGAGATTTTTTTCAATTTGGCAGAATTTCACCAACAGCAGAATTGCTAACTTGGAGGCGAAACACTCTTTGATTCCTAAGGAGAAGCTGTGTTCTTGCATCATGGGAAGGATAATGAGGTGAAAGTGAGGATTAGTCAGTCACTTGAAATTGCATAAAAATGTATAAACATTCAGTAGGTATTTGAAAAGGAACTTATAGAGGTTTTCTTATATGTACACTATATTGCCAAAAGTATTGGGACGCCCCTCAAAATCATTGGATTCAGGTGTTCCGTGAAATTTCCTTGCTACTAAATATTCCGCGGTTCTTTCCTTTTTAAAAAGGATGGGAATCACAAACAGCCGATGGCATGCTATTCCCCAAAACACACAACCCCCTCCGGTCATTCCCAATCCAGCTTTTAATGATAGAAATATTCAAGCCAAATCACCGCTCCCGACTCTCAACATCTCGCAATAATAATACAGCTCTTATGATGTCAATAATTCACAGATTTACGGTACAATGGAGTTCCTCTTTGTCAGCAGAGCTCTGCCCAGAGGACATTCCGCTGACAATTCCATTTCCGAGATCGTCTAAAGGACGCAGCGGAATGATAGGAACGCGGGTGAAAATGGCGCATTGTGTAAACTGGCTGGGGAAAAAAAAAAACATGGCTTTTTGCATATGCGATAATTAACTTTCCATTCTGTTCTCTGAACCTTTCCCCACCTTCATTAAAGAGAAATGCCCCAAGACCCAAACCGATAATTGCATCCACTAGCAGATGTCAAATTGTTGCCATTATGAAAATAAAGATTTTTTAGAAGTGATTTACTCTGGTCCTCTTCTTTGGGTTTTATTGAGATTTAAGCATCGGAAAGGCATTAATGAGTTGCGTAAGTGCTGGATACGGCGTCTATGTTATGTGTTGATGTGGCAGAACAGGTTTTCATCTTCTTTCAACTGAAGGATATCAGTCCATGTTCCTACTGGACCAGTTACTCTGCCTTTTCTATATGTGTGAGTCACGCCAGTCCAGGGAGGTATTCCCCAAGCTAGGAGGATCCCTGTGTGAGTGACCAGGGGAGGCCCCGGGCGAATAGTAGGCACAATCAAGTTCTAATTTCCATGAAATTTCAGAAAAAATATGGAGTTTTTGGCAAACTTTCACCAATCCGGAGACATTTATTGCATTTAATGAAAGTAAAAAATAATGAGGGGAGTTTATCAAAACTGGAGCAGAAGAATCTGGAGCATGGCAACCAATCAGCTTCTCTCTTCAGTTTGCTCAGGTAAGATTTGAAAATGAGACAGAGAAGCTGATTGGTTGCAGTGCAAATCTGCTCCAGATTTTGTCTGCTCCAGTTTTGATAGATTCCCCCCCAATGTATTTTTAGGGATGCTTTTGGTCTTTAAAGGAGAACTATGAGGGGGGTGATTTTCACGAAACCTCATAGTTCGAGCCGACGTGTGACAATGAAACTGTCACACGTCGGCTCAATAGATCGGGAAGTGAGCGAACACATACCGTCGCTCACTCACTTCTCGATCTTGTCCCTGCAGAGAGCCGTGATTGTCACTCACGGCTCCCTGCAGGGATTCCCCCCCTCCCCGCTCCGATCCTCCAGCGCTGACTGGCGGAACGGACGGGGGAGGGGCGGGTGCAGCTGGCTCTGCCTCTAGATAGGCAGAGCCAGCTGTCAATCACGCAGCTGGGTGGATCTCGACAGTAATGTAGGATCCGTCCCGGCTGTGGCAGACTCAGCATACCGCGAGCTGTAGCTAGCTTATGTCCTCCCGTGACCCTTAGGAGAACTATGGGGAAATTTACCCCATTTACCCCATAGTTCTCCTTTAAAAGCTATAAAAGCTCATTTTAACTTTCTTGTGTCAAAAATGGTCCTTATTAACCTCTTTATTTAATATTATTTTTATTATTAACAAAAGTAAAAATAGAAAATGTAAAAATCAGCCACGTAAATAAAAAACCAAATACACACAAAAAGGATAAAAAGCACAAATGCAAAAAAAACAAACACTAACTTAAATAAACGTCCCTACAAACACCAAAATAATAATGAAAAAAAAAAACTAAAGAAAAAATAGCTTTTAGGCAAATTTCACCTAAGCAGCTCAATGAGGGAAATTGAGATTATTTTCAATTTGGCAGAATTTCACCAACAGCTGAATTGCTAATTTGGAGGCAAAATACTCTTTGATTCCTAAGGAGAAGCTGTGTTCTTGCATCATGGGAAGGATAATGAGGTGAAAGTGAGGATTAGTCAATCACTTGGAATTGCATAAAAATGTATAAACGTTCAGTAGGTATTTTGGAAAGGAACTTATAGAGGTTTTCTTTTATATACTTTCTTTACAGAACTGAAAGGTTTTCCTAGGTTCAGTAGGTATTTGCAAATGAATTTTTATAGAGTTTTGTATATAAATATATTTATAGAACTATTTTTAGTCAAGTAAATATATATACATACACTATATTGCCAAAAGTATTGGTCCCCTCCCCCTCCAAATCATTGGATTCAGGTGTTCCGTAAAATTTCCTTGCTACTAAATATTCCGCGGTCACCTGTTACTGGTATTATAACAAAGTGGAAGCAACTGGGAACAGCAACTCAGCCACGTCACATGACAGAGTGGGGTCAGCGCATGCTGAAGCACACAGTGTGCAGAAGTCGCCAACTGTCTGCAGAGACAATAGCTACAGATCTCCAAACTTGGTGTGGCCTTCAGATTGGCACAACAACAGTGCGTAGAGAGCTTCATGGAATGGGTTTCCATGGCCGAGCAGCTGCATCCAAGCCGCACATCACCAAGTGCAATGCAAAGCATGGGATGCACGTCGCCACTGGACTCTAGAGAAGTGGAGACGTGTTCTCTGGAGTGACCAATCACGCTTCTCTGTCTGGCAATCCGATGGACGTGTCTGGGTTTGGCGGTTGCCAGGAGAACGGTACTGGCCTCACTGCATTGTGCCTAGTGTAAAGGTTGGTGGAAGGGGGATTATGGTGTGGGGTTGTTTTTCAGGGGTTGAGTTTGGCCCCATAGTTCCAGTAAAGGGAACTCTTAAGGCATTCTTCCCAGAAGAGTTGAAGCTGTTATAGCTGCAAAGGGCGGAGCCAACTAAATATTGAACCCTACGGACTAAGACTGGGATGCCATTAAAGTTCATATACGTGTAAAGGCGTCCCAATACTTTTGGCAATATAGTGTGTGTGTATATATATATA